ACTAATTTCTAGATGTGCTAATGTAATTTCTGAGTGCAAATACACTAATAATTTGTTACTTTGCAAGAGTAGTGATGTAATCATATCTACTTTAAAAGGAATCTGACAAGCAACAGGGTATAAGTGATTAGAATGAATTCAAGCTCTTATTTTAATCTCCAATTAACAGGGCCTTTTTTTTGAAATCCTAAAAAAAAAAAAAACTAGCATGAAAAGCACAGAACAAAGAAAGATTCAGTAGAAACACAGATACACAAATAATTCAACTAGGGAGGGAACCAACTTGCCAGGGGCTGTTACAGCTTCAATAGGACACTACTGTTTTTCTAATGCAGTTAGTGGTAGATTATCTGGGACTTTTGTGGAAGGGCCTTTGTCAAAACCATTTTCCTAATATTTTACTTTGACTAAGCTGAAACAAAGGAATAGTACTTCACATTCAAATAGTACCACATGCAGAGGCAGGTGTTTGGTAATTTTTAGTTATTTATTTGCTTGATGCTTTTTCAAGCAGTTTCAACCGTAGTGACTGTAATATCCATCTGTTTGAAATGGAAATTGGTTAGCAACTAGATCTTTTTTTGAGTCTCGCAATATATCATCTACCTGCTTTGAATGAAATATTCCAGCTAAATCTCTGATGAAATACATTTTAGATGTGTTAAACATGATGGAGTGTCAGTCTGCATTCATTCCAAGCTCCCTAAAGTATGCCTTCTTCTCTGTCTGACTGAAAGCGATAAGCTCCATTTCTCAGAGACCCTTGTTGCTAAGATTCCAGGCTCAGATTAGGTCTGGGCCAGTGAGATAAGCTGGATGGGAAGTGAGGTGGAAGATACACAAGGAAGACATTTGCTAGAGTTTATTATTTATTTGTTTATTTTGGTAGCCATGTTTAGTCACTGGCTTCCTGGGTAAAATGGCACTTTGTAGTTACTTCTCGATCCAGACTGAGCTGGAGGGACAACGCTGATACAGCAAGACTGACCTGGCACCTCAGGGTCACTGCCATCATTGCTGTAGTCTGGAGAATTTCTGTTATCTGCAACTTCACTGATAGAAGAAAAAGAAGGGAGAGATGCGTGCATTCAGGCAACTAGACAACAGGGAATGCCTGGGGCGACCCACAAAAGGGGAAAAGGTTGTTCCTACTAGAAATAGGCATCTCTGTGTTAAAGCAAAGTCACAAAAGGTTACCCAGAAAGTCTTAGGCCCTAAGTAAGATGAGACAAAAAAAAACCAAAAAACCAAACAAAACAAAAGCACTATCAGATGAGAAAATAATCATGGGAACTCATGGAAGGAGAGAGGGGAAAACATTAAAGAAAAAGATGGGACAAAGGAAAGGAAAAGAAGGGGAGAAAGACTGGAACAGAGAATAACAAAGACAATGAAGCCATGCACTGGTGAAGAGGACCTTAGGCCACATGCGAAATACCCCAGGGCCTTGCCTGGATGCTACCAGAGTACAGTCACCAAGATGAACGCTGCCTCCAGCCACTGCCCTGTGGGTTGTGAGAGTCCTGGCAAGGGTTCTCAATTATCGATTCTAAAACTCTTCACACCAGAAAAGAAGGTGAATCCACCCTCTTTATTATAAACTTACATTCAAACTGTATAAACCTTCATATTTGTGTATATCCTATTATCTCACATGTATGTGTATATATATAGATATACATAGATCTATCTATCTATACATATATATATATGCATGGATGATTGACAGATGAGAGAGATAGGAAGGAAGGATGGATGGGGAAATATACAAAATGTATTTGTAACAAAAATCTGTAAACAGAAGTCTGTTAGCTAAAAAAATGGTTTTAAAGTCAGACAATAATGCAGACTGCTAAAAAACTAGACATTTATAGTAAATGTTGGTTTAATTCCTAAAAACAAAAATGTTTAATTCCTAAAAACTAAAATGTTATGTCACTTTTATAATTCAACACAGTAGTCTGAAAAAAAGCTTCAGGTAAGATGTTTGCACCAATTCATTAAGCTTAATTAAGCTCTACTGACAATGTAATTCCTGACATTAGAGGAAGTCTGTCTCCCAGCCCAGGCTATTGTCCCATAATTTCTGCTCTAGCCTCTCACACACATAGTTCCCTTCTTCAAAGGTACCTGTTCTCTCCACTGTCTTCCCTCCCTAGGGACAGGGCAGATGCTCTCTAGGAGCTGTTTCCTGGGTATCAGATGTTCTTCCTTCCCAAGCACCTTTCCACTTCCACTACCGCTTTAAACAAGCATTCCTTATCTCCCTTTTCCCACATAGCACTAACACAATTACAATTATCGATTTACCTATTTACTACCAACAGGTCTTCATTGCATGAGGGTCAGGTCTGTTTTTCTTGCGATTGTATCCTGGAAGCTTAGCCTGGTGCCTTAGGTATCTCAGGACTGCTGAAGGGTTGAAACACTAATGAATGTTGCTGCTTCATCTTCAAAGTTTAAATAATCCATTTTTTGAATGTAACCATCCATGAAATATCTAGGAATTATTCTCCTTTTAAGGGTCATATTTTTAGTGGCATGAACAGAAACTAGCTCATGTTTAAACTCTGCTTTAAACATGTTTACATGTTTAAACTCTGCTTTAGAATTTCAAATGGTCATCTCCTCCTTCCTCTCTACTAAGCTCATTGTTATGTCCCAAAGCCATCACAGGTATCTTCTTTAATTTAATAATCCAAAGGTGCCAACTAGAGGGGATGAATTTTAGAGAGCCTGAGCCTCTAACTCCCAAAGGACATGAACTTCTAAAAGCCTGGTGTATGCTATCTCCTATACTGTAAGTATATTAAGTATACCAGAATGGAGAGAGAGCTCATTTATCCAAATATTCAATGCTGCTGTCAATTACACAGCCACCTGTCTGCAGCCCTCGAGTGGTACTTAAGTCACCATATTTCTACATCATTTCAACATACTTCTGCTGACAATGTGCCAATGGGTTTCTCTCTTGGCATTTTACACCAATTATTCCATTTGCTTCTCACAGGCAGGAAGTGGATTAGAGCTGGGATTCACTCTAGGTGATAACACTTCAAGCTCTAAATTCCTTTTCTAAGTGGTTAGAAGTTTCTTTGGGTGGAAAATAGGTAACCAAGGTGAAGGATGCTAATTCTTTTTGAAATCCTCTTACCTAAAGGATCTTTGTAATGGACCTACAAAGAAGAGAGTCACAAAAGCTGAAGGACATTCAACTGTCCGTTTAGCATCATTATATTGGCACCTCTGCCAGAGATCAGTACATGCCAGCACCAGGCTCCATGTTCAGTTCTTCCATCTGTCCTTAAATAAATCCCCAGTATCTTAATACTTTCCTTCCACTCCTTTCAAGACACTTCCTAATTTATCTCTCAGATTGCACAGTCCAGAGCTGACAGCTTTGTCGCAACAACGCATTACACCAAGAACTAAATTACAGAGAGAGCCTGATTCAATTTCTATGTAAAAATACAAATTGCAATATCAACCAGCAGCAAACACAAAGATTTAGTTGTGTTTTTTTCTCAGCATTGAAATCCTTTGTATCACCCAGTTTGTCTGACCTTTGAGTCCTTTTTAAAGGCACAGTAGAGGAAATATGTTTCAAAAAACAAGTTCTCTAAAGGCACATTCTTTACAAGTGAAATTCATTTAAATTCACATACCCACCTACTAGAAATATTATAAGCATTCATACCGGATGAAGGGCCTCTTAGACCCCATTAAGATTTGGCTTTAGAACATACACATAAACAGAAGACTTGAGATTTATTGGGAAAGTCCCATGTCTACCTCCATTTTAAGGCAGAGTTAACCATGCAGACATAGTATTTTCAACCTCACATCCCTCTGGTAAGTAAAATCTTATGAAAACCTTTGAACACCTTGGTGCTTTAGCGACACAAAGGATAGTTTTTTTTTTTTTTCCAAAGACACACAGACACAAAGGAATTTTTTTTTTCCAAAGAACATCATTATGAGTAATTGAACCTTTCTAGAAATAGGATTTCTTTTGAATTAAGAGACGAGTCTATAGGGAGCTCCTTTCTCAAATCTGACCAAATACATTAATGAAGCACCAGTTCTCTGGAGCAGTTTCCTCAGCAAGGCGATGCTTTTGAACTTGGCAAGCTCGCCTCTAAAGAAGTTATGTGCAATCAGTGGCCATCAGTCACTTTCATCTCAAATAATCCTCTGTCTCGGCAATTCTAACACATCTCTCACCAACACTGGAGAGTCCCTCATACTAAAATTCCTACCAGGCAGCAAGGACAGAAAAGTGGACAGTTCTCCTAGTCCAAGACTTCAAAACAAATTAACCTTGTTTATCCAGCAAGAATGCTAATGAGCACATGAAGAGTAAAAAAGGAGTTAAATGACAACCATTACCTGTAATACTGTCAGAGGTTAAGATTACTCTTTGCTCATAGGAAAAGCTCAGTATACATATCAGTATACGCATACCAACCAGTATAAGCCTTTGTGCTTAGATCTTTACAGGCTTTCTTCTACATAAAACGTTGTACGCCTATAACATTTATTCACGAAGAGCCAGGTAATACCAAAAGGGACAGCTACAGTAAATAATATACCACTTAATCTAACCATCCGATAATGGCATTCATTCTTAATCTCTACATTTATCATCAGCTTGGTTATTTCAATAAATTCTTCAAGATCAGCTAAATAATATATTCTGACAAACTTTCTAGCTTCAAGTTACCTGAGCTTACCGCTCCTGCTAGTTAAAAATCAGTCCCCTAGTGATGTTTTCTGAAAGGAAAGATGCACGTGTGATCCAGTGCTAATCCATTTCACCTTTAAGACGCAAAACATGTTCCCTATAGCTCCGAGTTTTTATTTATCTGGTGTTAACATCTGAAGCACAACCTGCAATCACTTACTGCAAGGCCGCTCGCTTGTTTTGATCACGTCTAAGTTTTCAAGGTAAACAGGTCACCGGCGGCCACTGGAATGACAGAGGAAGAACACGAACTCACCCCAGGCGGTCAGACTCCGGGCATGGGCTTCGGGGCGCTAACAGGACGACGGGTCGCAACCCTTCCTCCCAATCCTCGGAGGAAGGGCAAGGGCAGGCGCAGAGCCAGCAGGTCTAGGGTGGGAAGGAGGCTTCTTGCTGCTCAGCTCTGCAGACCATTGTCAGCGCCACGGCCGCCGGCGGCTTTCTGCGCGGTATGGGGGCGGGAAGCTCCACCGAACCGAATAGTTGCAAGCTTTACAGAAGCCAGGGAGAACTAGCTGTTTTTGCTTGAGAGCCAAGGGCTGTACCTGGTGTAACTTCCACCCCGTGACCTATTTTAGAGTGTGAGATGAAAGCAATATGAAAAATAGACGGAGGGCTCATGGGCGCGCTTACCCGAGTGAAAATACGCGCGGGCTCGCGCGAGCCCCCGACAAATGTCGGGGCTTCCAGAAAGAAGTTGCTGTGAGGCCCCAGGAGGCGTCCCTGGCACGGTTTGGCCCGCAGAGCTTGTGGGAGGCCCCTCCTTAAGCTCCGCCTCCCTTCGCAGCCCATTCCCAGCGTTGTGTGCCTTTCCCCAGGTGCACCCCGTACAGGAAGCCTCGCTCTTCGGGTTGGGGGCCTTTGGCCAGCAGCTGGGCTATGGATTCCCCGCCCCCACAGCGATCCCCGCCTCCCCACCCGACCTCACCTCTCTGGAGGCGGGGCTCAGCTCCCACAGAGACCCACCGTACTCCAGGGCAGAGAGAATAGCCTCAGAGGGTCAACGGGCACCCGTGTGGCCACCTTGATCAGTCCCCAAAGAATGTCCAGATCCAACCGGCCAGGAAGTGGAGCTCGGTGGCTGGCTCCCTCCCAGTCTGGGCAGTGGGATGACCTTCCTTGCCTCTTGGCTTGCTTTGTTCTCTGCTGTACCTCCGAGTTTGGAGGGTCTTATGGGTCCTACCTGGAAAGGATCCCAAGGCCAGGGCACCTGCCCGGCCCGCAGCACAGCCGCTCAATACCAGGGGCGAAAACAGTATGCTTCAGAGCTTCTTTTCTCTTTTGACCCTTGAGCCACTGGCCACTCACTTCAAAGGCAATGTCCCAGTTGAGTAGTGGGGTAACCAAAAATCAAAGGTGGGCACAGAGGTGCCACTGTTCAGATTCTTCAAATTGTTAGTGACACGGCATGCTGGAATCTATTAAGAGTTTATAAAATTAGTCCCATCAAAGTAGCATCTATCAGAAAGAGAGATCAACTTAAGCTCTCGACTTCTGTCAAAAATCGCATCAGATTCCACCTCTCCCCCTTACTTTTGTAACTTTGAGACGACTTTGTGTAGCAATGGGATTAACTGCTTTCTGCCCTGTCCTTAGTAGAACTTCTGTTATTAAACTACTCAGTAGTCACCAGGGGTCTATGAACTTTTAAAGTGCGTGTGTCCAATTTAGAAAAATTAACAGGTAGCTTCTTTCCAATTTAAATGCTACCAAAAAATATGTAAACTGTTGAGGCTCCTGTCTACATGGGTTGTTGGATTTCATGTTGAGTTGCTTTTTGTGGAAATTCAACTATATGTCTCCTATAAACACACTGTGTGGGGGGGGGGGCGTGGGGGGCATGTGTGTAGCTAGAGAGGGCAGGTGGAGATTAACTCAAGAGTTTGTGAATCTAAACTGTTGAGGCTCCTGTCTACATGGGTTGTTGGATTTCATGTTGAGTTGCTTTTTGTGGAAATTCAACTATATGTCTCCTATAAACACACTGTGTGGGGGGGGGGCGTGGGGGGGCATGTGTGTAGCTAGAGAGGGCAGGTGGAGATTAACTCAAGAGTTTGTGAATCTAAATAGTTTTCTAGCTCCACAGTAAATTTGTGTGGAGGAGGGAATATTTACTTAGCGTTCTTATCACCATGCCCAGGGTAATCAAATTGACATTTCCTTTTCCTGTCAGCATCTCTTTTTTTTTTTTCATTTAACAGGGAAAAAAAAATCATGAGCCTATTTTAAATGATCTTCTTGAGCTGAATGCCAGACACAAAAAATACCACTGCTCATTTTCATTTTCACTCAACAGAACCAGGACTACAGTCTGACCTTGGATGGAGAATACATTCTAGAATCTGTGATACGCCTTGCTCCTTTCTAACAGTACAACAGGAAACAAAGCACACCCATTTGAGTATATTATAGTGCCTGGCACATAGTAGGTGCTTAATAAATAAACTTGCCGGGAAGTGAGATCTCAACAAAATTTGTTAAATGTGAAAGAGGCCTAGTTTAAATTCTACAGAAAAAAAGGGAAACCATCTATATAGATGAGGTGGTACAAGCAGGTGTCCTGTATGTGTGTGTGCATGCTTTTGAAATGAAGACTGGCTGAGGAATGGAAGTAAGAAAGTAGAATTGCTGTGCTTTCAAGATATGGTTATACATCAATTTTATGCAGAAATGTGTCATCTTAATGAGAAAAGAGAGCTTCTGTATGTATGCACTGCCAGTATAGTTCAAAATTCCCAAATTTTAGCAAGTAGAATAGACACATTAGCAGATAAAAGTTCGCAAATTTCTGTGGCTAAGATAACCCTTTAAAATACCTGACTCAGCATTCTCTTTGCAGGTTTCTACACTGACAGTGTTCTTCCACATGTTCATGTATCTAGATATTTTAAAGGAATGTTATCTAATCTATTCCACTATTCTATGGTTCTTAAACTTTTATAGTTTAAAAGCCTCTGTGAGAACATAGTAGGAGCTTTGAAACTTTTCTGTATAAAATAAACAAATTTAATAATAATGCATATATATTTCTGTGATTTTACAGACTAGCTGAAACAGATCTTTGGAATCCTTTATAGGCCTGAGGGCTTGAATGATTATTTCCTTGTTTAGGGGCTGGGAGAAAAATAGATTATTCTATTTGAGGCCATCATAAGAGGCATCTCCATGGCCACCAGCAGAATTTTGGTAATGACTAAAGAAATGGAAAGAAAAGTGCATGTAAGAAAAGGACACTAGAGAAGTATAGCTATCCCTCTTTGAATCTGGACCTCTTAACATTTATCTTCTTTTTAAATATGAGCATTTTACTTTCATTTCTCAACAACAGAGAGGACATCATAATCTATAACTGTAAACTATGTTGCTGCTGGGTGAGTTCATGGTGTTTATTGTATTATTGTCTCCTTTCTCGAGTATGAACTTTTTCATGAAAAAAATTATTAATGAATGTTTCCTTTCAGATATGCATAACCAATCTTAGAACCTTTCTTAAATTGGCTTTTTAAAATGGAAGGGGTGTGTGTGTGTGTGTGTGTGTGTGTGTGTGTATTGTTTTTTAAAGAAACAAAGCAGTGATGCCACATATGAGATTGCTATCTATAGGTAGAATCTATATAGAAATAATATGTGTTCTCTTATCATGAATTATGAAGTGGGCTAGCTATGTTCTCAACACAAATTAGACCACTGTGGAACACTGTATCATGGAAAAGTGTTTCCAATTCTGTCTAACTTTATACTTCATTTTATATAGTTAACTAAGTTCACTTAATGTTTTTATGTATATTTCTATATTAGCCCAGTTCTTTGGGTCTGGCATGTACCTCTTTAGAGGCAGATGGCAGCCTTATAGTTTCCTGACCACTTGCCCTCCACCCCCTCCAAGAAAGACAGCCACAGTGCTTCCCCCTGTGTACCTGTACCCGAGGTACCATAGTTCTATTGTGTGACAGACACACCCATATGTCCATGTCCATCAGAGGGAGCTGTCCGGTTTATCCTGTGGCCTACTAGGTAGCAGCTGGAGACTACTGCCAGGTCAGTAGACATCACATTGGATCGAGATGGTGGGACCCAATCAGATTGTTTTCCTAGTGATGTACAGGTAGCATCTGGATTTGAACGTAGGCTGTGAGTGGATTTTTTAAAGATTTATTTATTTATGCATACAGAACTGAGGTACAAGCCAGAGTTGCAGGGATGGTGAAAGGCTTCACCAGAGACAGAGTTGGGAGCAGAACAGGCAGATCTACGAAGTACACTGCTGAGGGGAGCAGCGGGCGGGTCAAGAGAGGTCTGCCATGCCATGTGGATCACCTCTGGGGCAGGGATCGAACTCAGACTAAAGCAGCTGTGGCTAGCTTGCAGTGCTGCATTCCAACCCATTGTACCACCAGGGAGGGCCCAATGAGTGCATTCTTAACCACTCTTTCCTGCCTCAGGAGAAGCAGACAGAATTAAAGCAAGCCACATGCATAAACAACTCACATTGTAAAAGCTGTGACCACCTTGGCTACTGAAGAGTTCATGCTCCTAGTCTCTCAGGTGATGCTGTGCTTTTCTCCTTGGTCCTCTGGGACCTTCTGAGTGGTTTGTGGCTGTGAAGAACATTGCTTGTTTTTCCTCATGGAGCTCCATAAGAAAGTAATGTCGCGGTAGATAATCTGTTTATCTACTTTATAACTGGAATGAAGACAAATGTATAGTAGCATGCTGCTTGCCTGCAACACATTACTGACAGGAAGTGGAGCTGTGACCACTCTCTCAGTGGCCCACTCCTTTAGAGGTCTTTATTCCTCCTATTAAAAACAGAAGAGATGTTCTTAGAGATGTTATCTGAAAATAAGTTTCTACAAATCAAGTCACATTTTCCAATTGAATGTTTTAGTGAACTGTTTTTTCCACAAAAATAACATTTTCATCTGAATCATTAGAAAATTGTGGCTAGAATTTCATGGCTTTCATTTTTAAACACTCATTTAATGGAAATATGGGAAAATGTAATCAATAAATACTGAATCTAAGTCATTTCATGTCCCTTCTGCTCAAGGTGCTTTACCAGCTCTCTAATGCTTATTACGTGCCACAAATCCCATTCTTCAGGATGCAGTGCCCCTCAAGCCTGGCCCTAATCCACCTCTCTGGATCCAAGGAAAATCAAGGGATTTTTTTTTTTTCAGTTTTAAGCTGTTTGCTTTTGTTTGCATTACCACAAATCCATGGGTCATCTACTTCCAAATGCTTCCCGTTTTCTTTGCCAGCACAACAGTATATAAATTCTTCTTACCCTAGTAGCATTATCAAGAATATTCTTTACTTTGTGATAGAAGTTCTTATGCACATTGATAATTTGCTCTTATCACCAACACAAACCCATTACCCCTCTTCCTTAGAGTTTATACTGTTTGCTGAGGATGTAAACCAGCATGGATTCTCTGGGCCCAGGCACACCAGGCCCTCATCCAGCTATCCTTTGTGTCATTTTCCTACTTCCTTTCCATCTTGGAAACTATTTGGTTAGGCATCTATATTGTTTTTCTAGAACTTTGAGTCTTTTTGTTTTTTTCTCATCTTCTCTTTGTGATCCTCTAATTTTGGAGTCAGCTTTTTGCTAGAACAGTGATGATAGGCCACCTGGTTTATTTTAACTCTATTTTTTAAAGTGTGGTTACATAATTCTTTTTAAAAAAGCATTCTCAGACACAGAATC